CCGTCCCTCTTGTACATGTGGGTTTCGGGGTTGGCTGGTCCACCTCTGTTCCTCTTGCACTCTGAGAGCATCACAGGGAATCAGCAGGTTTCTTCGGAGGCACTTCTCACTGGGGGTGAGCTGCTAACCGTTTGGTTAGTAGTCAGGCACTTAACTCTTTGCATCACTCAGGAACTCCTGCAGGCAATCTAACCAAACCCATTGTCATCGAATCGATTCCGACTCATAGTGATCTCATAGTACAGAGTGGAGCTGCCTCATAGGGTTTCCAAGGAGCAGCTGGTAGATTGGAACTGCTGACCTTTTGGGTAGCAGCCATAGCTCTTAACCACTGCACCATCAGGGCTCCACAGGCAATCTAGAGGGGCAAAAATGACTCTCTGTAGGGTCAATGGAGCTCTGGTGGTTCATAAGTGCTATGACTGCTAACCAAAAGGTCGGCAGTTTGAATCCACCAGCTGCTCCTTGGAAACCCTATGGGGAAGTTCTACTCTGTCCTATAGGGTCGCTAGGAGTCGGAACCTACTCGACTGCAACAGGTTTGGTTTGTTTTTTTCTGGTAGGGTCAGTGTGGACTATGGAAAGGCCCAGTTTCTAGTCCTGGCTCTACCCTTAAGCATCTGTGTGATCTAATCCAGTCCTTTTACGCCTGTGGGTTCCGTTTGCAGTCTTGTAATCTGACACTAATCTAGTGGAAAACATCTAAGTTTCCTTCCAGTCCTAAGACTCTGTGGCTTGAAGCCTAATTTCATATTATCATTTTATGAGTGATTTTAGGTTTTGGTTAGCTAATTTTACGACACTGTTAGTCAAACCAATGACTGATTTAAGCAGAGTCCTTTGTCAGAGAATTAGCCCCAATTATAGCGTTATTTCTGGGGGAAAATATGAGCCAGCTGCTCTTTAACTACTGTCATGAACCTAGTGTATAATTTACGGCTTGTCAGCCAACAAATGTCTGTGGGTGGGCTGCCCATACCCACATGTGGTTCGTAGGAAAGCCAGAAGTCTCTTTCGGTGGCCATTATCAACCAAAATTAACCCGGAGACAACTTCAACAGTGCGTCACGTACACCACAGCTGAGTGAGAGGGACTCTCTGAGTTCATGCTCTTCCCTCCAGATGAGGCTGACATCACTCCTGGTACTGGAGAGCCAGCACACGGGTGTCTCTGCTCTTCATGGTTTGACAAAAGATGTGACTCATGAAGACTTAGGCAACCCCATGCCTCCAAGTCCCGTGCACTTGGGTGAAGACGGAAATGTGGTGACTGAGAACACGAAGTTCTTCACCCAAACCTGATCCAAGCTACCACAGTCACCATGATGCTTCTGCAAGGAGTCACTGAGCAAACCCACCACAAACTGTTTTAATTCTAGACCAACTTCCCCAAGCTACCCAGCTACCAACACCACTTCTTTTTTATCAGCAAAAGGAATAATCTAGAGAAATTTCTTGAGAGAAAACATTTATTAATTCAACAACAAACAAAATTTAATGCCTACTATGTGTCAGGCACTGTTCTAGGCTCTGAGGACACAGCTGTGAACAACAGAGAAACATCTTTGCCTTCACTGAGGTTACATTCAGATGACTGAGGCAGACAGAAACATTTTTTTTGATCCCCCCTCATACCTTTTAAACATATTCCAGCTTGTCATCATCTTTCTCAAAATGGGGCATCCCAAAATGGAGCAAAAGCTCCATCCACACTGAAGCTATTACTTCCCTGACCTGGCATTCTCAACCCCATGCTTCTGCCCTCATTGCCAGTCACACCACAGTGAGCTGCTCGTATGCATGGAGAGTACCACGCTAGAACCAAGCACAGGCCCACTCTAGCCTCCTTAAGCCATGCCTCTCCCAATGGGGCAAGGAGCCCACAGGGGCAAGGGGATGTACTCTCCCGGCACCCCTGACCCCTCCAAGACTATGCTCTGGGTACCTTGGGCTCCCTGCCATACATCCTGAGCCCATTCCCAGTGCCTGCGTCTCTCCTCCCGGGGTCTGTCCTCTCAAGGGTGGACCGTGCTGCTTGGAGGCACCCCTAACCACCTACACCACCCAGGGACTCCTCCCTGCTCACAGCGTCTACACATTCTCGGTTTTGACTTGCTCACAGCTGCTCTCTGTGCCCCTCTATCTGAGCATGCTTCCAGAATCCCTGCAGCCTGCCCTCTGCCTGATTTTCTTCATACTTCTCAATTCAAAATTTCAAGGACAAAAATCTAATTGGATCTCCTCACAGTCTTTTAGGAAAACCTCTTCATCCCAGGCCACTTCATAGGCTACCTTCCTGGTCTAATTAATACATTTGGTGGCACATCATTCACGGATTGGCTCTCCTTCAGTTAGGTGTGCACCCCCATCCAGTCAGCTATTGCTGGAGGAGGTCGTGCAGTAGGAAATGTGGCTGCCGAGGGCCGGCTCATCAGCGGGGGCCATAGGAGGGGCAGAGCAGACAGTATGAGTGTCCCGTACAGTCGTCGTGCTCAGTCTTGGCAATCTCACTGTCACATCTTCTGCATATTCAGGTTCCACTCCTGGTTACCACGATACGCCACCATAGTATACCACTGTCAGCGGAGCACTGAAACCCAAACCCACTGCCGGCGAGTCAGTTCTGACTCACGTGACTCTAGAGAAGCAAAACCAGTGAAGCATGTATATATATTATATAGACAGAGATTTACCTGACGGAAATGGCTCACACAGTTGTAAAGGCTGGTAGAGTCCCAAGTCCGTGGGTCAGACATCAGGCTGGAGGCTTCTCCTGACTCATGTAGCTGCAGAGGCTGATGAGCCTAAGATCCAAAGGTCAGACGGCTGGCTACTGGCTCACGGGCTGTGAAGACTGACGAATCCAAGATCAGCAGGTAAGATGGCAGGCTGCTGGCCCAAGTCCCAAGAACTGGTGGTCAGAGGCTGACGAGCCAAATGCAGGATCCAGAGCAGAGCAAAAGCCTTCCTCAGGAGCTGGGGCCCTGAATTCGGACATCTAGCCTTCTAGACTGTGAGAGAATAAATTTCTCTTTGTTAAAGCCATCCACTTGTGGTATTTCTATTATAGCAGCACTAGATGACTAAGACAGAACTTGGTACTAGGACAGTGGGTGCTGCTCTAACAGATATCTACAATGTGGAAGCAGTTTTGGAATTGAGTAATGGGTAGAAGCTGGAAGAATTTTAAAGCGCCTAGTAGTAAAAGCCTAGATTGACTTGAAGAGAGTGTTGGTGGAATTAGGAACATCAAAGACAATTCTGGTGAGGACTCAGAAGGAAGTGAGGAGAGGTGTAACATCGGAGATGGCAGACAGCCATAAGCAGCAGCAGAGAAACAGTGGCAGCAAAACCAGGAGATCAGCACAAGACCACGCAGGAGCCGACCTACGGAGCGCGAGAGCTGAGTGCCTTTGCCCAGGAGGCTTCTTGGAGGAGTGGGGTACCTCCGGGCACTTATCATTGGAGCTAGGCTTGCTGACCCGACCCATGGAGCAAGAGAGCTGAGTGCCTTCTGGCCAAGGTTTACTGGCAGAGTGGTGCACCTCCGGGCACTTATTGGCAGAGCTAAAGAGCTTTGGAGCACATGCTGGAGCAGGGCAGACACATGGCTGGCTCAAGAGGCCTGAGGGGCCGAGAGGCCATGGAACCAGGAAGCAGAAGCTGAAGAGAGAAGCGAGCAGAAAGGAGAGGGATCTCATGCCACCAAGAAAGAAGCGAAGGGAGTAGAACATGTCCTTTCGACCAGGGGTCTCTGCGCTGAGAAGCTCCTAGACAAGGGGAAGGTTGATGACAAGGACCTTTCCCCAGAGCCAACAGAGAGAGAAGGCCTTCCCCTGGATCTGGGGCCCTGCATTCAGACATCTAGCCTCTTAGACTGTGAGAGAATACATTTGTTTGGTAAAGCCAGCCACTTGTGGATTTGTTGTAGCAGCACTAGGTGACTAAGACAGTGACCCTACAGGAGACAGCAGAACTGCCCACAGGGTTTCTAAGGCTGTCAACTTTACAGAAGCAGACTGCCACAGCTTTCTCCTGCTGAGTAGCTGCTGGGTTCAAACCATTGACCTTTTGGTTAGCAGCCGAGCACTTTAACCTCTATGCCATCAAGGCTCCTAGTGGAGCACTAGCCGCCAGTTTACATTTCTTCTCTCTGTGGTGGGACTCGGGGATTATTAAACCTGCTATCAGCAGTGGTTCTTCTTCATTTTTCTGAAGTGCATGATATACTGTTTCTTCCTCAAAAGATGTATAATTCACTTTCTGTGTGGCCTGCACCCCACTTAATGGGGGCCAGGCAAGGTCTACATAAGACACTAGCAAAGCGGTGATGGGTTTGGGTCCTGAGATCAGAATTAGACTTGCTAGAGAGGAGATTTACGAATCTGAATTAAGGTCCTTAGAAAATGCCAAGGAAAAAGACTGAGAAAACCAAGTCAGGTGACAAGGTCAAAAGCAGGAGACGATCCAATGATCAAGAACCGGGCAAAACTAGAACAGATGCAAGTGGTGTGAGAACAGCTGAGACTGGAGCCAACATGGCTGCGTTCGCTTCTCTGGGCTCCCCAGGTGGGCAGGGCTGCTGAAAGGCGTGTGATTCCATCTTTCCCCATCACCTTGGAACCTTTTACTTTCTGCTGGAACAGCTTCCTCCTATCTCAGAACTCTCCGGTCTCTTTGATAGCCTGGAGTTCAGTGTGGTGTGTCTCTCAAGCCCTTTAACCAGTTTGCATTGAACGAACTAAATCAGGAGAGGAATTTAGCATCTGCTTTACAGGTCACTGAAGCTTTGTGTCTTCCCCAGGGAAACTCTGCTCCTAGTAGACTATGCCATTCCTGGGAAAAGCTGCTTTCCACACTTTATGCTGCATAGTCTGCCCCACCCCACCCCTGACCCCAATAATCCACGAGCAGAGGTAGCAGTTAACAAGGTAATTTATTAACATCTGTGAGAGTCTCACCATCATCCCACAGACTCACACCCATACCTTCCGGTCTGGCAATCCACACAGTGACAAGCGATACCTTGCTCACAAACCTCCACACGTGTTGCAATTTCCACACCTCTACCGTGAGTGTTGTCTGAAAAAGACATATGCACAGCTTCAGTCAGAGATGATGCCGTTGACCATTCCAAACAAGGAACATCCCTTGAATTGGCTCAACGCTCTGAGACTACCAAAACACCATTGCTCTAAGGTAAATGTTTCTAAGATCAGTCACGGTGAAGTACAAATAATGCTCAGCTCACCAGCGACCAAGTCTGAATCCACATCTCCACCTGGGACAACTTTTCTCATACAACTCAGAACACCTGTGAAGTCACCAACCTCAGGGTGACTTCTACGGGTGGGATGTGCGTGTGTGTGAGGGGGAGGTTATCCCCGGAATCCCTATTTAGACTGTATTTACCAATGGTGGTCCAGTGGCTGAAAGCTTACTATTAGTGCTGTATGATGGGAACATTGGGAAAAAAAGGGGGGGGGGATTGGTGGGCTGGCACGGGAACCAAACTCAAAGGATAAACTTACGATCTTCTGGACCATAGTCATAATTTGGGGGCTGGCTCTAGTATGTACATTACGTCTATAAAACCTCTTCGAATAGTAGAATCCAGTTGCTGATAAAGCACCAGCTACTTCCTAAAGCAAACCCTCACCTTTCAAAATCAGTATTTTCTCCCGGAGAAAATGTCTCAAGACCATTTCTGCTGCCGCTTCTGAGGTCCCAGTTACGTGGTACTACTCAAACAGCCCCACAGGCGACGTAGTTCACACTGGCTAAAAACACGCCGCTGGCCACTGGGCCTGAATTCCCACCGACTGAGCTAAGGGAGCAGGTGCAACATGAAGCAGGCATTCACTCCGTGGAGGCTAAACTTCAAGAAGTCACTTAAGTGCTTAGCAGTGGTCTAAGTGCTGACTTCGCATCAGGCAGACTGTTTTATTGAGTACTGAATGTCTGCAACAAGTGGGACACATTTAAATTGCACAAAGGAAAACCCCATCACAAAGTGCTTCAGGTTATAAAAAGGCAGGCAAAAATCGTTCTGGTCAGGAACTATTACGGTGCCTTATCTCCTATTAACATAAACATATAACAGGAGTAGCATCTGGCCTTCTGACTTGAGCGCTGCAGAGTGGCTTAGAACTTATGCCAACACAGGCCTTTTTCAAACAACCCACCAAGTTCACATTTCCTGAGTGTCTATAGTAGAGGAGATTAAAAAAAAAAAAACCAACTAGTTGCCGTCCAGTTGACTCAGACTCTCGGCAACCCCACGTGTATCAGAGTAGAACTGTTCTCTATCGGGTTTTCAATGGCTGATTTTTCGGAAGTAGACTGCCAGGCCTTTCTTCCAAGGTGCCTCTGGGTGGACTCAAACTTTCAACCTTTCGGTTAGCAGCCGAGTGCATTAACTATTTGCACCATCCAGGGACTCCATAGCGGAAGAGATACAGGTATGAAAAGACACGTTTACCTTTTGAATAATAAGCAGTTCAATCATCTTCTTATTCAAGGAGTTCAGGATTCACAGCAACTTCACTGTAGCGCCATCAAACGGTTAAACTGAACTGATGCTCCCATAAAACCTTTCTGTGTAATCCAGCTAACAAATTAGCTACTTGTACAAAGAGTACACGTGGAAGCCCTAGCACTTGTACATTCACAGTTCATTTTCGCACCTGTTACCTCATTGAAGACCAAGAGGTTTCGGAGTCAGAAGGGAACTCAAATAGCAGCTGTCACAATCAGGAGATGTGCCCTTGGGGAAGTCACTTAACCTCTCTGGACCTCAGTCTTCTCATCTCCAAAAAGGGGTTGATAATAGAAACTACCTCATTGGGTAGTTGTAAGGATTAAATGAGTTAACGTTTGCAAATCTCTTAGCACAGGGAGTACACATTCAAGAAACGGTAGATTTCATTATTATTTAATAATTGCCACAACCTCTGTAAATTTGCCAGGCAGTTATAATTTTCCCTCTTGGATAGATGAGATTGTCTTATCCAGGGCTAACCAATTCATCAGTGGCAACCCCAGGGCTTCTGATCCCAGGCCCCAGCCACCCCCCAACACCCTCAGTCAGCCTTAAAGACTTTTACAGAATGGGCAGCCGCATCCAGCACAAGCAGAGAATTCTCCTTGGTGTAGGTCAGGGCCACAGGATGGGAGAGGCCTTGAGTGACGAGGGGCTTCAGTCCTGGAAATTCCTCAGGCTTTCCTAAGCATAGGACAGCTTGACTAGAGGTATCAGTAACAATCACATTCCCTTGGTGATCAAAGGTCACTGCGGAGGCAGTAATTTTAGAAGGAAAGAAGAGGCTCAGTCCAAAGGAATCCACCTGGCCGATCAACTGCATGCTTGCGCTAAACACCTTCACCCTGGTGCTGCACGCTCGGGTGCCCCCCGGAGGCAGGGGGTGCTCCAGGACCGCAATGGCCCCAGTCAGCCCAGACACGGCCACCCCTCGGGGACTGCACAGGTGAGCGAGCATCCTGTCAGCTCTCTGCAGGATCCCTTCCGGAAAATCGACTTCCAGGAGATGCAGGGACCCTGCCTCCGCGTCAGTCACCACGACCTCATTCTGGGGCGTGGTATCCACACCCCAAGGTAAGGAGAACTGGCCCCCAATGACGAGCTTGATACGGCCCCCAAAATCAAACACTTTGATGGAGCGGTCGCCGGCGTCGCTGACAACCACGTGGCCGTCGTTGGTGACGGTGACGTCGAGTGGGTACCTAATGTCTTGGACAGCCTCCCCTTTCTCCCCAAACTGATGCGCACACCGTCCCCGGGAGTCAAAGACCCTGACCCGCCTCTTGCCGTCGTGCACCACCACGACCCGCCCCGTCTTGGGGCACAGCGCCAGCCCGGTGGGGTTGACCAGGGTCCCCCAGCCGCCGAAGGCCTGGTGGCAGGCGAGGACCCCGGGGGCGCCGGGGAGGGCGCGGGGCGCGGGCGCGGCCGGGCGAAGCGCGGGGCCCAGGAGCTCCAGGAGGTGCAGCACCGGCAGGCAGTCGCTCGTGTCGCCGCCCCGGCAGGCTCGCCGGCAGAAGGGACACTCGAGGGCCAGCGTCCGCGGGTGCGCCAGGGCGGCCACGCAGGCCAGGCAGACCACGTGGCCGCAGGGCAGGTTGCGCGGGCGCCGCTGCTGGCCGCGGCCGAACCGCTCGAAGCACACCTTGCACTCGAGCAGGCTGGTCTCGGCCTCGCGCACGAGCTCGCGCAGCGCCGGCCCGCACCCCGAGGCCTCGGCACCCATGGCGCCGCCCCGGGTCCCGGTCCTCAGGCGGCGCGCCCGGCTGACGTCACGCGGCGGGCGGATCGGCCGCCCCTGCTGCCCCCTGGTGGACGCGCGCGGCAGCTGTTCCTGAGGGCCTGCTGGTGGGACGGTCGACGTGCCCGTAGTCTTGAGGACAGTGGTATATGAATAATCTCCATTCTGCAGATGAGCTCATAGACCTCCGGAGGACAGTGACTTGCACGCCATCACCCAGCCTAGGAGTGGTTACGCAGGAACGAGATCGCAGCCTTCCAGCCTCTGGTGCCCTGCAGTCTTGCCAGTTTGCAGCGCTAGGCGCTGGGCGTTGGGGCTGACGAGGGGTAAGACATGGTCTGTTAACTCATGATGCTTGTGACCTCGTCGGGAAGACACAGACCTTGAGAGAAGGTAAACTCCAGTGGGGTGAGGCAGGTGTGCATACCTCGTTTGTGTCACCTGTCACAGTGGAATAACCCAAAAAGCAAACCCATTCCGACTCATAGCCACCCTGTAGGACACAGCAGAACGGCCCCATAGAGTTTCTAAGGAGCGGCTGGTGGATTAGAACTGCTGACCTTTTGGTTAGCAGCTGAACACTTAACCACTGTGCCACTAGGGCTCCACTTGTAGCAAGGGAGATACTTAACGAATATTTGTAAAATAAATCCATATATGAAAGAAGGGATGTTATAGGACAATACAAGAAGCCCACTAGGTGAGTGAGTGTCAGATGGAGGAACCATGGCTTAGAATGTCTCCGAGAGGAATTATATGAAACAAGAAAACTGTTAGTTAATAATAATGGCTATAGAACCCACTGACCTGTTTTAGGTAGTGTCATGGATTGAATTGTGTCCCCCCAAAGAATCTGTCAACTAGGCTAGGTCATGATTCCCAGTATTGTATGATTGTCTACCATTTTATCATCTGATACAATTTCCTAATGTGTTGTAAATTCTATCACTCTGATGTAATAAGATGGATTAGCAGCAGTTACACTGATGAGGTCTACAAGATTAGGTAGTATCTTAAGCCAATCTCTTTTGAGATATAAAAGAGAGAGAAGTGAGCAGAGACACAGGGGAACCTCATACCACCAAGAAAGCAGTGCCAGGAGCAGAGCACATCCTTTGGACCTGGGGTTGCTGCACAGAGATGCTCCCAGACCAAGGGAAGACTGATGCATCACAAGGACCTTCCTTCAGAGTCGACAGAGAGAGAAAGCCTTCTCCTGGAGCTGATGCCCTGAATTTGGACTTGCAGCCTACTGGACTGTGAGAGAATAAACTTCTCTTTGTTAAAGCCGTCTGCTTGTGGTATATATGTGTTATAGTAGCGCTAGATGACTAAAACAGGTGATTTACATAGATTATCTTATTTAAAACTCAAGACAATCCTGTAAGGGTACTATTATTTTCATCACTCCTTTCCTACAACAGCGTTCGCAGAGGTTAAGTCTTTTGTCCAGGGTCACACAGCTAGGAAGTGGCTGGGCTGGGATTTGGAGCCAGTCAGTTTGCCTGCAGAGCCCACAGCCTTAACTACAGGTAGGAATCACCTGGCTGTCACCTCCAGAGGTTTAATTGCTCTGGGCTGTGATCTGGGCAACCAGGTGATTATAATGCGCAGCTAAGTCTGAGAACTACTGTGCTGTGATAATCCCTTCAGATGACCCAGGTTCAGTTCTCCCAACCTCAGTCTATAAAGACCAAAAGCAAAGAGAACTTATCATATGCCCCAAAATCTTCAAAGAGGAGACAGCATAACCTCTGTCTTAAGTCATCTAGTGCTGCTACAACAGAAATACCACAAGTGGATGGCTTTAACAAAGAGAAGTTTATTCTCTCACAGTCCAGTAGGCTACAAGTCCAAATTCAGGGCATCAGCTCCTGGAGAAGGTTTTCTCTCTCTGTTGGCTCTGGAGGAAGGTCCTTGTCCTCAGTCTTCCCTTGGTCTGGGAGCTTCTCTGTGCAGGAACCTCAGGTCCAAAGGACGTGCTCTGCTCCTGGCACTGCTTTCTTGGTGGTATGAGGTTCCCCTGTGTCTCTGCTTGCTTCTCTTTTTTATCTCAAAAGAGATTGGCTTAAGACACTATTTAATCCTGTAGACCTCATCAGTATAACTGTCGCTAATCCATCTTATTACATCACAGTGATAGAGTTTACAACACATAAGGGAATCACATCAGATGACAAAATGGTACACAATCTTATAATACTGGGAATCATGAGCCAGCCACACTGACAGATATTTTTAGGGGACACAATTCAATCCATGACAACCTCCCTCAGGAGTTCATTGTGGTACTAAAATGTCTCATTTTCAGACTTTTTCCCCAGAATGTGTTCCATGATAAGCCCCTACCTTGGCAAAATTGCGGATGTTGGATCATTTCTCTTGGTTTGAAGATCAGGATCAGAATCACTCATCTTCTTATTTGCTACACTTCCAGGAAAACAGGGGACTCCCTTTCCTGTAAAAATCTGGGGAGACAGTTTTCATGTAAGACAGGAAAGAACATTTTACCAAGTGTACATATAACTCAAACATTGTGTATCAGGACACAATAACCACCTTAACGCTACAATTTCAGACTACAAGGCAATTCCTTCACAAATAAATAACCAACTACAACCATGTCAGATAGACATTTCTGTCTGTAGTAATTCTTATGTCAAGTAATACATTCAGGACACCAACAATGGAATATTTTTAGGACTAAAATATAAATAAAATCAACCAAAATGCATAGGATACCACTAAGGCAGGATCTAACAACAAGAATAAAACATATACGGGGACTGACCATGTGCTTGGAAAATGCTTTAGAAGCATTAAGTCATTTGATTATTTTTATGTAAATAATGCGTATCCTCTGCGTTTGTTTGCCAACCACTTCCTCCCCCAGAGGTATTTTCATAAGCACACTATGCTAATTTTTTTTATGGCAACTCAAACAACAGCTGGTTGGTTTTTATGAATCCTTAAGGTCAAGCCCCAGCGTCCCTGCCACATCACGGTCTCTTTCCAAGGGGCCCAGCCCGTAGATTCTTGCTGACGAGGGAGCTCTAGATGGTTTCCTATCCCTAAGTCTTGCTGTATTTTGAACCCACCATCCTGCCACTGTGGCCACCGTTGCATGACCAGACAGACCACTGAAACAGGGCAGCCAGTAGCTCTGAGGTGGCCTGTCAGGAAAGTCTCGCCCAAGCGGGAACTGTGATGATTCCCCCAGGAATTTTAATCCAAGGTGCTAGGGGTGAGTCAGTCAGCTGGAAGAGGAGCGGAGGCTGAAAGATGCAGAGAACAGACAGTTCTCAGCAGCTGTGTGTGGATGCCACGGAGAGAAGAAATACAGGGACGGGGGAGGCTGTGGGAGGCACCATCCAAGCAGAGGCGAGAGGAGCCGCATTGCTAAAATGAAGGCTCTTGCTTCATAGGAGCAGAGAGATAACCTGGTCGCCAGAGCCATGGGGCAGCTTTCAGCTCTTCCACCATATTCCAGCTTCGTGAGGCCCAGCTGTGCTCCATGGAGCCAGGCCCCATATCCACAAACAGGCCTGTCAGACTCCAAGGACTGTGCCCTTAACTGTGACCTTATTTTACTTCCCTAGGGTAATAGTATCCAGTGATACCTATGTGCCATTTATTACAATCAGGGACTCACATTCATTATCTCATGTAATCATCACATAAGTTGGAACCAACTCTATCCCACAGAACAGCCGCCACCACCTTAGAAGGCAATATTCTTATTGTAGAGATAAGGAAAGTCACAGAGGGTAAGCACAAAGCTAGTATAGGGCGGAGTTTAAACTTAAAAAACGTGCCTTTCTGACTCTGAAGCCTGTGTTCCTTTTTCTGGGGTGCTATGTCTTTTATAGAATATTGAATATACCATGGACTGACCAAAGAATGAACAAATCCATCTTGGAAGAAGTACAACCAGAATGCTCCTTAGAAGCAAGGATGGTGAGACTATCTCCTGTACTTTGGACCTGTTATCGGGAGGGATCAGTCCCTGGAGAAGGACATCATGCTTGGTAAAGTAGAGGGTGGTCGAAAAAGAGGAAGACCCTCAAGGAGATGGACTGACACAGTGGCTGCAACAATGGGCTCAAGCATAGCAATGACTGTGAGGATGGCGCAGGACGGGGCAGTGTTTTGATCTGTTGTACATAGTAGGGTCGCTATGAGTCGGAACCAACTCGATGGCACCTAACAACAACAACATGTCTTTTATAAGAAGCCCTGGTGGTGCAGTGGTTAAGCGCTCAGCTGCTAACCAAAAGGTTGGCAGTTCGAACCCACCAAAATTCCCTCATGCAACTAACAACAACCATTTCTGTAGAGTCAACCCCTCCCCTTGTGCCCTTTTAAAATATTTTTTATCCTAGTAAACTTTTTTATTATGGAAAATTTCAAACTTGTTCAAAAGTAGGGAGAACATCATGATGAAACCCTGTAGATATTATCCAACAACAAGAATTACCAACCTTGTTCCCTAGGTACCCCAACCCACTGCACCCCCTGGTTTATTTTAAAGCAACCCCGAGATATTGCATCATTCCATCCTTAAGGCTTTCTGTATGGATTGCAAAAAGATAAGGGCTTTAAAAAAAGGTAATCACAATATTATTAGCACTCTCAACAAAATGAGCAGTAATTTCATAGTGGAACCTAATATCTAGCCAGCGTTCAAATTTCCCCAATTGTCCAGGAAATGTCTTTTTCGAGTTGGTTTGCTCAGCTCAGGATCCAAACCAGGTCAACACATTGCATTGGTTAATATTCATTGCCACCAAGTCATAGTGACCCTATAGGACAAAGTAGAACTGCCCCACAGGGTTTCCAAGGCTGTAATCTTTACAGGAGCAGATGGCCACATCATTCCCCCGCAGAGCAGCTGGTGGGTTTGAACCACTGACCTTTCGGTTAGCAGCCGAGCGCTTTACCACTGTGCCACCAGGGCTCCTTATTTGGTTTACAGGTCTCTTAAT